TGACTAAAATCCAAACCAAAGTCTTTCCAATGGTGAGGGAAGTCATTGGGAAGACAGGAACTGGTTTAATTTAGGCTCCTTGTGTCCTGATCTTGCTTTGCTTTGTGCTGAATGAAATTTTTGCATATACCCACATGCCTCTTCAATATTTGTATTGCCAATATTGGTGTCCATGTTGCTGAACAGACTGCTCTTTGAACACATCCTCACTGTGACCCAGCAATGGCTGAAACTGCGATGCTTTTGTAATTTTGGAGAAAGTACCAAAGAGTTGATAAAGGGGGTGGTGGCTCCTTGAACACCCCATAAAGAAAAATTGCCTCAGAGGACATGGGGAGTATGTTCATCTTTTCGTTTTCTTTAGCATGTATAAAAAATGGATCATATACTACTAGTTAACTGCTTTGACTGGTACCTTTCCTGCAGTAATTTCTCCTGTGGAAATCACTGTGGACCAAAAGGTCAAGCAAGGTTTTCAACTGCAGTGCTGTAGGTGAGACCAATCTCTGAAAAACTCTCAAGCTGGTTCTTTCTCCAGACTTGTAACGGGATTGCACATTCAAGGTAACGCCACATGCAGTAGGTAGGAGGATTTCAGAATGTACATGGTCCCATTAAAACATTTTTGTTTAAATGATCTCATGAAACTTGACATGATTTTCTTCGTTACCTAGTTAACTTTCTGGCCTGATGTGGCTCAAAACCATCCAGAGAATCCTTTATAAAAATGCTGTACAAAGAGTGATTTTTGCCATGCAATAGATAAACCTCTAGAGCCCTTCAGCTGTGCATTGCCGTTTAACTGAATTTTTAAGTTCATTTATTTGGAAGCATTGCACTACGGTAGAAGTTGGATGACATTGTCTGAGCCAGAAGTAGAGATTTGATTTGGGAGGATGGGAATATATTTGTTAGAAACAAAATGCTTCTACGTTAGGTAAAGGTTTGCTCTGAGTAGACAGCAGGCAAGCAAGAGATCAGATGGATTTATTTAACAAAATTGGCTGTGAGAAGTTGGGGAAGAAGAAAGTCCTATTTCAATGAATTGCATGCTTCTGTGCTAATGCTGTACGTAATGCTGGCATTGATCATTACGCACCATACAATAGATGTAATGCTAAGTAAATAATGAAAAATACATTAGTGTATATAGTTAGAAAAAATAGTAAAGCAAAGGAGGGAGATGCCCATGTGCATGTGTGTGAGTATGCTGGGGTGGGGGGGAGCAGGGCAGCAGGCAGTTCCCAGTCTGCTTCCCAAGAGAGGTCCTTGCACTTTGTTTTTGATGGAGCAGCAAAGGGGGAACACGAATGCTGGCTTTCAAGTGGTTAAACTCTTCATAGGGCCACGAAGTTTCTTCTGCTTGAAAGGGCTGGAAGCACAAGGTGTGCTCCACAGAGGCACGGACGAAGATCTAATGCCTTTTCCCACTGTTTGATGCTTACAGAGATATCTTTCTCATTGCTCCCTCTCCTGCAGCGGGGAGGGAGACTCAGGAAGGGAACAGCTTCTTTAGGGCTCGGCTTTGCTGAGCAAAGCTTGCTGTGCAGAGCTGTTGCAGGTTGAGATCCTTTCAGTTGGAGGCAATTCGAGCATCTCAGTCCCTTCTTACGGTTTAAGAACTGGAACTATTTTTGAGGCGCCTCCCCTTCCCCCCCAAGTGGAAAGCTGCAAGGCTTCCCCCCACCCCCAAGTGCTCTCAGGAGGTCCTGCCAGACTGTCCAGATAAGCTGCTTCCCTGTTTGCTGGTGGGCGGCAGACCTCACTGTAACAGATATGACGTGGTGACCTTTGCAGCGACGTGAAGACAGGCGTAGAGCAGAGACAGGAAAAATGCCCACGGTGTTGTTAGTCACTGTCGCCACTTGGCTTAGGAGAGGGGAGGCCCTCTGAAAGCCCAGCAGCATTTGGGTTAGCGTCCTGGCATCGCTGGTTGTAAGTGTGGTGCCCAGGCAATAAGAAACCTGCAACCCTCCTTTTTTTCATTTTCTAGCCAGGGGAGTTTGTTTCACACAGTCTGCATCCCACAGGCAGTGACTACCCAGTGCATATTCAGTATACACATTCAATATATATGTTTACCCCTTCAGTTGCATGTGTGTATCATCAAGAGAGCAGAGCAGCTTCATATATTCCCTTTTCTTTTGAAATTTTGGTGAGGGCTTGCTGGGGCAAATGTTATCTTTATGGCTTTCTTCTAATGCCCTGCAAATAGCAGCAGGAGGGAGTGCAGCTGCGGGATCAGCCAAGACTCTTCCATCCTCCCCGTGATGAAACCTGAAGGGCAGAACAGAGAGGTGTGATGCAGGGAGGCCACAGGAGATCTTCTGTCTGCATTTCCCAGACGTTCAACCTTCCTGCGCTGGCCGTGCATTGGTTGGAGCATACACAAGCTCACACAGGAGACTTAGCAAGAAAGGCCCTTCTGCTTGTGGGTGGTTTCTCCATACTCACAAGTTGTTTCCATCAGGAAGAAGCCTGTCACAAGTCAATAGATACTTTTTCTAAAAAAAACAAACAAACAAACAAACAAACACAAAACCAGAAAACCCCAACTCCAACTTTTTTCGAAATGGTGTTCTTCACGGGGATGTCTTGGGCTTTTTCCATCCAATGAGGGAGTTTAAGTTCCTCATGTTTCCTTCTATACAGCAAAGAAGTAAAAATGCACAGGAGAGATTATGTTTAGGCAGTTGAGGTAACTTACAGTAAACCTTAAGATTTAGTTAGTTTTCCTCCAAGGTGGAAGAAAATTGCTGTTACCTTCTGGGTAGTTACGCAGCTGAAGTTTTTGACTTAATAGTTGAATCGTCTTTATTTCAACCTCATTGACTCTTGGACTGAATCCAGTGAAATAACGCATTTCATGTGATGCACTGAAAATACAAATTTTTCTTGCTTTGGGGGAGGGAGGTGGGAGTTGCCACTTGCGCGCTTTTCTAAATGTACAGCAATCTAAGCTAATTAGGCATGGATGATATCATTCCAGTCGGCAACACAAGATAATGTCCATCCTGACTGTAATGACCACCTTTCAGCTGAGACCACCTTTGTGTCCATTACCGATTCCAGGGTGTAAACTAGACAGATTATTTATCCTGCCCCGAGGAAGAAGAGGAGGAGTTAAAATTTAAGAGCTGCCACTTATGGGCAGGAGTGCTGACTAACACTTACTATCTTGACTACACGGAAATCAATTTGGACCTTGTCTGATGAATGCTGCTGCTTCCCCCCCCTGCCCCCCCCCCCTCATAGAGCTATACAGAAGAATCAAGAAATAAATGCGTTTGCTTAAGATAACATTGTATGACAGCTGAGAACAATTAAAACTCTTACTTGCAGCTTTTTTTTTTTCCTTCCTTTTTACAGTAGGAGGGTGGTGTCTGCAGCTTTGAGTGGTTGATATAGTGTATTTGTCATTGGTCTGATCTTATCTAGAACAAGTATCGTGCACAGTTATTTATTTTACAGCCTTTTCTCCTGGTTTTGCACAACACACAGATCTTGGTAGATGGGAGAGGATTTTTTTTTCTTACTAGAGTCTTTTTGGCAATAAACACACGCCTAACTGTAAAAGAAAAAACTTTCACAACCAAGCTTGTTTTGTGAAGCCCAAACATTTGCGAAGCTTACAAACCCTCAAACTTTGCATAATGTGCCCATCCCTGGTCTCAAACATGAGGTGGCAGAAGAGGGAAGTGTTACTTTTTTTAACCAACAACTTATGACTGTGTCAACACATGACAATTTGTCAAAGCTTGCTGTAGCGGTGCTGTAAATTAATTTTTAGCATCAGTTGTGAGTGGTAAACACTTTGTGCAGTGTGAACAGCTCTTAGTACAGTGTGAGTTGTCAGCAGCTTGTGAGCTACCCTCAAAGAAAAAAAAAAGCAAAGGAGGGAAGGATAAAAGCTCGTTTACTAGTACAAAATGGGTCTGAGTCTGCAAAAATTCGACATATGTTGGTATTTTTTTTTTCTCCTCCATACCAGTCAACTCAGCCTTGAAAATTTGGCTTTTCCATTAATAATAATCACCTGCAAAGTTGGGAAATCACAGCTCTCCATCCCGTGCACCAAGTAGTGCCTGATAGCAAACATATTTCTCAGGCTTGTGGCTAGTTGAAGTAGAGCCCTCTCTTTACTCTCGAGTTTTGCCTTTGCTTGCTTTAAAAGCAGAACGTGTCCTGCAAATGTGAACATGCTCCTTTGTTGAGAATTCTTGTGTAAACAGCATAAAATACCTGGGAAAAAAAAAAATAAGATGGCAGCCCAAAGAGAAATGATGGGGGCTGAGTGCTCTCTCTTCCTCACTTGTCCCGTTGGTGTTTCTCCTTGCGTATCCCAGCCGCTGTGGTGGAGCTGGCAGGGATGGTTCATACAATAGGAGTTGATGTGATGGAAGAAAACTATTTGGTACAAAAAGCTGGGGAATATGTATTGTAGAAAACAACTTTTCAGATACAAAGCTATTTTAACCTGTCACTTTAGCAGAACAAGCAGTAATAACTTCCCAACCTAACAATGACTCTTTAAGTTGAACATTAATTCACTCAGTCATTGAATTGCTAACATGTCTACAACTTACAAGTGAACACCCACTCAAGAGAGAGAAAAAAGAAGTTGGTGTCTGGAATTCCTGGCCTTGCTGAAATCACCTACATTTTTTGGCGCTGACGCTGGTATTTCGTCTTGCGTTTCCTGCAAATGTTTTAAGTAGAACTAGATGAGAAAAACAGCTGCACGCGTTTGTTCGCTGCTTTGATATGCTCGGCATGGGGCTTTTTTCTCAAGTGCAGTCACTCTCGGCTTCAGCAGCCTAGGTAGGCTTTGACTGCGCCTTGGAGCTTGTTCCAGTAAGCAGGCAGCACACGTGAAGCTTGGCATGAGAACTTTATCGAGTCCTACTAAAGCTAGTTTTAACCTAGTTATGGTTTTAAAAAGAAATAGGACTTTATTTGTGTATTTGTTCACAAAGAATTTTGATTTAATTTCCTTTTCTAGATATAACTGTAGGTGCTGCTTGTATGAAAAAGCTGAGCCATACCATCGAGTGAACTGTCTAGAGCAGCAGTTGTCTTGCTTGGAAAACACTTCTGGGACTGTATTGTGAGTAAGTATTTTTGCAAAAGCAGCATCAAATGATTTCTTCAGTTTGGGGGCATTTTTTAGATGCCTCGATTGTTCCTTATAATTTTATAGTTTTAATCTAACATCTAGTAGACAGCAGCAATACATGTGGGAACATGAGCGCTCCCATGTCTGAAGCATAGCGCTAAAATCCTTTAAAGGCTCTTTGCTGACTTGCTTTAAAACTCCTGGGTACAGTACCTGAACACTTCTGAGAACAGGCAGCTTACATGTAAGCCTAGAAAGAAATTTGGCAAGATACATGTGGATCTGTTTTGTCATTCATTCTGTGACATACATGTTTTTTGAGCATTTTTGCACTTCAGCATTTTAGCTATGCTGGTATAGCCCTGTTAGGCAAATGCTTCGTGGAGATTTTCATAAACTGTGACCTGCCTGACTCAATTTGAGATTGTCCATGAATAGCTGCCCTACCTGATCCAGAACGAGCACTGATTTGTCTCTTCGGATACGCTGTGTGTGTTGCTAGGGAACCTCAGTAGGCTGTGAATGGCAGTGAATTTGGTCAGGTGCATCAATCTCCATGATGAGTGCGTGTCGATGAAAAAGACCCCTTTTAGGGTTACAAGCAAATTGCATTGAGTATGGTATTGAGAACATGTTTGCACTTAAAATGAGTAACATCATCCTAGAAAACTTCGAGATGCACACCAAGGAAACCTCATCATGGCATTTATACAGTTCCTTTTGAAAGCATAATCCATTTGGGGATGTTTGTGACCTGAAATTTTATAACTTTTATTTCTTTTTATATTGCCTTCATTTTTCTGCTGCTGCTGATGCAGGCTATGAGAAGCGTGATACGAGAAGTATTTATGACTTAAGTGCATTTCCTTTCAAATACCCTCTGATAATATGGTCACTTCAGAGAGCAAGTGTGGGAGAGTTAGTGACTTAGGGCTCAAATCACTTAGTTAAGCGTATTATACAGGCTGCTCATGCTCCCCAGCACCTTGTAAAGTATTTCCTACAGGTTACATTTGCTGTACATAAACTAGTTTTAAAATATATATAGATGCTAATCCCATCACCAAGTCCTTCAAACCCAATGGTAAAGCAGTTGAGTCAGTATTTTGGAATAGGTTTCTTGTTTGTGGATCTTTGTTCTGTGTGGTCAGCTGACACATCTGGGTCACTCTCCAGGTGAGGTTTTGCTTGACAAAAATCCTTGGCTCAGCTCAGCCGGCAGTTGTCTGCTGGATGCACTGACTGCCATTTCATACCGGACCTGTGGGGTGCTCAGCCTGATTCTGCGTGGGTGGATGTGAATGAGATGAAAAAACGATGCAGTTGCTGTCAGTGATGGGACACATCAGCAATGGCAAATGGGCAGAGAGCAAGTGAGGGAATTGCTTTGGGGAAATTAGGACTAGAAAAGCCTAAGTTCTAAGAAAGTTTTCTCATTAGAAATTTAGAACAAGACAAGACATTTGTTTTCAGCATCTTGATTGTAAACGGTCTGTCTGCTTCTGGAACTTATGTCCTGACCCAAACCACCATTGCTTTCAGAGAACCATAGAATCGTTTAAGTTGGAAAAGACTTTTAAGATCATCAGGTCCAACCATTAACCCAGCACTGCCAAGTCCACCACTAAAACGTGTCCCTAAGCACCACATCTATACGTCTTTTAAATACCTCTAGGGATGGTGATACAACCACTTCCCTGGGCAACCTGTTCCAATGCTAGACAACACTTTCAATGAAGAAGTTTTTCCCACTATCCAATCTAAACCTCCCCTGGTGCAACTTGAGACCATATCTGCTTGTTCTAGGACTTGTTACTTGGGAGAACAGACCCACCTCACTACAACCTCCTTTCAGGTGATTGTAGCAAGCAAGAAGGTCTGCCCTCAGCCTCCTCTTCTCCAGACTAAACCACCCTGGTTCCCTCAGCCGCTGCTTATAAGACTTGTGCTCTGGACCCTTCACCAGCTTCATTGCCCTTCTTTGGACATGCTCCAGCACCTCGATGTCTTGTAGTGAGGGGCCCAAAACTGCACACAATATTCACACCAGTGCTGAGTACAGGGGAACAATCACGTCCCTAGTCCTTCTGGCCACACTTTCAGCACGTGAGGCAGGAGTTTGGCTCCTGCAGGACTGATAAGCGCTTCTGGTCCTTTCTCGCAAGGTGCTGCAGCACTTGCCAGCAGGAAGCCCTGCTGCCACCCAGCCCCAGCCTGGCACTGCCATAGAGCTGCCCATAAGCCTTGCTGCTGTTTCAAGGGGAACTTTTTGCTCTATTGCTGTTAGTGTTCGATTTTCATCCAGTTTATGTCAAGGTGTTTGAATCACTGTGGCACCAGGAGCTGGAGATGTGTGTTTATTTAATTTACCCTAGGTAGTTGCTACTCATTTGGTAGAGCGGGTTTGGACCTGGTGTTGCGGGGTGCACACTATTGAGACAATCTCAGTTATATCAGCCCCTTGAAGGATTCACTCTTCCAGCATGGCTTTCTGCCTCATGTCCTTCCAATTTACCCGTATTAGTCTGTTTAATGGTGCCAGAAGGCCACACACTGGCTCTCTGTGAAGCCTCAGACAGTAGATGCATGCTTTTAAATAGTTAAATAAATGTTAATTATGATTCACTAATAGTTTTTCCCCAACTATTAAGTAATATCAAACACTGAATTTTTCAATCAGTAATTGTTTTTTCAGCTGCTGAGTGGGACCAAGTATTCAATATTTTTAGGGGGTTATTTTTGCAGCTGCTTGGCTGCTTTAAGCTTAAAAATTTTATGTTATTTTGTAGGGCTTTGACAGCCTTGGATGCGCAGTGGGCACGAGTTACTGAAAGCCTGTGGTGGAAGTGGATTGATGACAATCTTCTGATGCACCTTGGTTAGCTGTGGATAGTTTGGACTGCATCCAGATGAGCTGAAAATAGCAGATTGGGCACTTTTGAAAGTTTGTGGTTTTGCAGAATTTTCTCACAAAAGTCTGAAGTCTTTTTCTTTCTCACTGTGTTAGTTATTACACAGGTGGAAACTAGCTATTTTTTTCCCTCTCAAGATCTTGAGACTTTCTGTAAGTGATTGAGCCAGTCTGAATTATTTCATGAAATAACGGTTTGACTTGTTGCACGTCCTTGCAAATAGTGTAATACCACAGAATTTTGCTTTAGAAATACATATTATGTGCCTTTCATTGGAAGATCTTAAGATGTTTTCAAATATCGAGTAAACCACAGATCATTATGATAATGGCAGAGACACTATTCTCACCCACGATGAAGACTACACTGAGCACATTGCTCACGTTTGCCCAGTGATTCATTAGTCGAGCCAGTAAAACATTGTAGGCAGTCTGATGCAGTGGCTTACTGGTAGCTGTTCTTCAGCTGATTGCTCATTTTGATGTGATACATAGCAGCATCAGACATTTACTTTGAAACTTACCTTTTTTGTGCATCTCCTTTCTCTGGTTTTCCCACCAGATCAGCTCTGCTGCCTCACAACACTGCTGTTTGCATAAGCAAGTTGCTGTAATCCTTTGAAGCTGTGAATAAGACATCTCCTTCTAAATATCACTGATGTGTTTTGATGAAGCCATGGTTGTGAGCACAGGGTGCACAAACAAAGGACACTTAACACTGAGAGCTAGAGAGAGGCTGATGTTGGTAGGGGAGAAGACCGAATAGTGAACATTAAATTCCATTTACTGTTCAGTTGTGAACAAAAAAGCAGCAAAATAAAAAGTTTCCACAAAGCAGAAGTGTGAGTGAAATGAAACGTAGTGGCTAGACAAATTAAAAAAACCCACATTCATTAAAAAACCCACCAAACTTTTAAATTTCAAAGCCGTGGTAGAAGAGGTGATTTGTCAGCCACCCAGCTTGGACTAGGCACCCAACTGGAACTCATGGTGTGGGTTCAGTTCCCCACCTTGGTCACAGGTTTCCTGTGCGTTCTTGGGCAACCTTCTTCATCTGCCCCATGATAACCTTCCTCATTTGTACAGAAGAGATCATCCTCCTCCCATCCATCATGACAGTGAAGCCTACTGATGCTGCTGAAGGATGTGGATGTTGCGACAAGGAGAGCCACCCTGGGGACCAGAGTGAGAGGGATGCGCTGCCTCGCAGGGGACAATCACCCATGCTGTTTGCATTTCAGTGTTCAAGAGGAACTGATTTCCAGATCTAGAAAGGGTTGGTTTTTTTCTTTCCATGTCTTTCAGGCCTATTTCTCATGGAGTTTGGCTGCCCCGGTGTAGCAGCAGGCATTTGGAGTATTCCCTGTCTCTCGCCTTTCTCCTTTCAGTCTGTCTCCTTATGGCTTTGAGTCATTCCTGTCTGCTCAAGACGCACGACCCACACAAACCCGACGGGATCAGAAGCACAGCTTTTGTCATCTCCTTAGTTACGTGGCGATCTCTTGACATTTAAATACAGTTGTGTGTAAGAAAAACAGAAGATAATGCTTGAGCCTGGTCAGAGGGTTACCAGAGATGACACTAGCAGTTGAGGAAGGTGGTGTACAAGGGAGCGGGCTGTCACCTACCTGGCAAGGTGTGCGCTGGCACAGAGTAGCTGCGCCTGCTGAGGGTGACCAGATAGCCTGTCACCACTGTTGGCCTTTAGCCTCTCTGCTCCTTCACTTAGCCCCTGATAGGCAAATATTCATTTAAGAGATTTTTATATGAACCTCACCCAGTGCTGATGCTGATTCTGAGTAAGGAATTAGAAATGACAGGTTACTGCCTTTTGATATGTCGTTTTGTCTCCTGTGGGTTGGTAGTTAAACTTTTCTCACCCCTTACAGGAATTCTTTTTCTC